ATGTTCATTTTCTCATCGACCAGCACCCCCAAGTCCTTCCCCGCAGGGCTGCTCAACTCTTCTCTGCCCAACCTGTAGCTGTGCCTGGGATTGCTCCGACCCAGGTGTAGGACCTTGCACTTCTCATGGTTAAACCTCATGAGGTTGGCATCAGCCCACCTCACAAGTGTGTCAAGGTCCCTCTGGATGGCATTCCTTCCCTCCAGGGTATCAACCGAACCACACAGCTTGGTGTCATTGGCAAACTTGCTGAGGGCGCACTCAATCCCACTGTCCATGTCAGCGACAAAGATGTTAAACAAGACCGGTCCCAACACCGATCCCTGAGGGATGCCACTCGTTACTGGTCTCCAGCCGGACATTGAGCCATTGACCACAACTCTTTGCGTGCGGCCATCCAGCCAGTTCTTTATCCACTGAGTGGTCCATCCAAATTGATGTCGCTCCAGTTTAGAGACAAGGATGTCGTGTGGGACAGTGTCGAATGCTTTGCACAAGTCCAGATAGATGACATCAACTGCTCTACCCCTGTCCATCAGTTCTGTAGCCCCATCATAGAAGGCCACCAGGTTGGTCAGGCAGGTTTCCCCTTAGTGAAGCCATGCTGGCTGTCACCAAGCACCTTGTTGATTTTCATGTGCCTTAGCATGCCTTCCAGGAGAATCTGCTCCAAGATTTTGCCAGGCACAGAGGTGAGACTGACTGGTCTGTAGTTCCCCGGGTCATCCATTTTCCCCTTCTTGAAAATGGGGGTTATATTTCCCTTTTTCCAGTCGTCGGGAACTTCACCTGACTGCCATGATTTCTCAAATATGATGGCCAGCAGCTTCGCAACTTCATTTGCCAGCTCCTTCAGCACCCGCGGATGGATTTCATCAGGTCCCATGGACTTGTGCATGTTCAGATTTTTAAGATGGTGTCGAACCAGATCCTCTCCTACAGTGGGCGCAAGATTCTCCTCCCCATCCCTCTGGGAGCCGGGGGACGGGAGGAAGAGGGGGAGTGAGAGAGCAACTACGTGGTTCTGAATTACTGACTAGACTTAAACCATGACACAAGGAGAGAGAAATAAACCCCCCCAAAAAGACAAGTGCTACAAAGGAGAAAACAATTGCTCACCACCAACCTGCTTGATGCCAGTCCCCAAGCTGCGACTCCCCAACAACATCCTTCCTTATTGCTGAGCATGACTTCCTATGGCATGGAATATCTCTTTGGTCAGTTGGAGCCAGCTGTCCCCACTGTGTCACCTCACAACATCTCGTGCACCCCCAGCCTACTCACTGGTGGGCAGGTGTCAGGAGCAGAAAAGGCCTTGATCTTTGTAAGCACTGCTCAATAACTAAAACATCCCTGTGTTATCAACACTGTTCCCAGCACAAATCCCGAACATCATCCCATACAAGTTACTATGAAGAAAATTAACTCTATACCAGCCCAAACCAGCACATACCCGCATGTCCTGTATAAGACACAAGGACATTGATCTTCTTAATTGAGCAGAACACATTTAAAGGTTGTACACTTAATTTTCCTGGCTGACATTGCAGATGACACAAACAAGAAATTAGTGAAATTTGTCCGTGGAGAAAATCTCCACAGTAGGTAACCTACTTCAAGATCCATATAATGGCCTATAGATTCAGTGCCTCTGGATCAGGAAGGAATTGAAACCAAGAAGGAGGTTAAGTGTTGAGTACTCTGGTGTCTAACTTATTCTTGGCCTTTGGACTGGAATCTGGAAGAATGTCTTTGGTGCCTCAGCTATGTACTCAGATGCACACCTCAGACAGATAGATAGATAGATAGGACCAACTAGGTATTTAATGAGCTCCAAAACAGCTAGTGTGCTGTGGGAGAAGGGCACTGCTACAACTGAAAAAAAAAAAAAAAAAGTTGTTTTAAAGCCATTCCTTTCTGGAATCCCATCTCTTACTCCATGATGTAGGGTGATACCCCTGAGATACTTTTTTCTTTAAAGTTAATCTTTCATACAAATATTTAGAAGCTAGTTTACTTGGTGAGGCTGGGGCATCCCTTTCCCTCCCTGGGCAAGCTAGACCACTGAGCATCACAGGTTTCCTCAACTGCCAGTCCACACAAACAACACACAAAACGCACCTAAATCACTGGCCCTGGTGTTTGCAGCAAGTACTCTTCATGCAGTTTTAGATGATATAGCTGGTTAATTAATAAAAGGCACCAGCTGCCATCACAGCAAAAAGCAGAATACAGCTTCCCCCCATCTTTCAGATGGCATTTAAGACAAAATGGATGTAAAAAAATAACACTAAATAATGTCATCTGAAGTGGAAATAGTCCTGTACAAAGCAGCCCATCTGTGTGCCATCAGTCTTCTCCAAGGCTCTTTTGAGCTTCTCTCAGATTGTCATTGCCACATGACATGCAGAAACTGGGGCAAAGTAGCGCAAACATAGTTATTTAAAACGTCGTCTTCTTTCTGGGAGCTATCGGATTAGGCTGTTGGACTTAATCCCATTTAATGTCTCTGGAGGCCAGGCTAAGAGCGCCAGGGCTGGCAGGTGCTCTGCACTGCCAGGAGCAAGTGCTCCTACTCAAGCAGGGCACTGCATTTGTGTAGCCAAACTCCCTTGCCTGCTTCAGGACCTCGCTTTTATAGTAGAGGTTAATAGGACTCACAGTGGGCTTTGGTCTATGCAAATACAACATCTATCCCATATAGTTCACTGTGTGTGTTAAAAGATTATCTGTAGGAAGGGGAACTCAGTGTCTTCATGACAAACAAAGCTTGATTTAGTTACCTCCTGCCTCAAGAGATGACTGCCACTGTTTTCCCCTCCACGGTTCCTGGTAGGTGGGGCAATGGTGGCACATAGCTCCTGGACAGGAAGACGTGATGACCCTGACAGGTAACTGCTGGCCCGGCGGGTGCGTGAAGCTGCCTGGTCAATGAGGTCAATACAGTAAGTAATGCATTCCCAGTAACAGTGCTGTACTGCCTCATGCCGCGTTCCTCAGTGGGCACTCAGCAGTCCTCCCAGCACCACAGCCATGAGCAAGGCGGCTGACCGAACTCGGCACAGCCCTCAGACTAAGATGGCGGGGGGGTGGCAGCTGGGGGCCAAGTTGGCCGGGGTGTGGAGGGGGGTACCTCACCCCCTCCCCGTCGAGAGACTAAGGAAAGCAAGGCAGGGTTGCTCGTGGGGGGCATACTTGAAGCTTCCACTGCAGCGGGGCTAACACGGACGGGCAAATGCACCCCGAAGTGCTCCCACTTCCCGTGTTGAGAACGGGACCTCTAGTAGGCCGCCCCCCTGGCGTGTAGCCTCACCCACTGAGGCAGCGTGGGGCGGGGCTAAAGTGCAGACCCTGCTCCTTCCCAGCGTGGGGCGGAGCTAACCACAGCGCCGCGGCTCTTCCGTAAACACCACCCCGGCCTTCCCCCCCTCCTCCACCCGGCAAGGCCCATTCAAGGTGGGGGAATCTGCAGAAGCGTCTCCCCCGTCACTTGATATATTCTCCCCCCTTAGTGCTCGCAGCCGGGTAGAATGAGGACATACGGACTGTTTCTGCGGGGATAGGAGCAAGTTGACCCAAATCGTCTGACCAACTGGCCGCTGGCAGGCCGGAAAAGGTTACGTCCCCCCCACGTCACCCGCGGAGATGGACGCGTCCAAGGAAGACACTAATAGTCCGTGCTGGGTATATAACTCGGGGGGGAAAGGGGGGGTGGCGTTTAAACGTCTGGTGAGCGCCGCGCTGAGGGTGAGCTGCTGCCGCCGCCGGCTCGCGGTGAGTGACCGGGGTGAGCCGGGCAGGGCCGCGTTTGTGCCGGCACGGCACACGTCTGGGTGTCCACGTACAGGCTGTGGGGTCGGAGCTGGCCCGTGCAGAGTGTTGGCAGGAGCGGGATGCGCTCCGCTCTGCAGCCCCAGTGGGGCTCCCGCTGCAGCAAGTGGGCTTAGCAGCCACTGCTGTGGGTCTGTAGTGTGACCCTTGCCCTGCGTCTCCTGGGCTGTCTCCGTCCCTTGATGTCCGCTGGCCACCGGGGCGGGCGCAGCAGTGGGGTTTTCCCCTTGCAGCCCGGCTCCCGCTCACTTCCCGGGGCGTGCGGGGCCAGGACGCTTGGGGACGGGCAGCCGGGTTCGCTTTCCACGGGGCTGGCGGAGACAGGGTTCCCTTCTGTCTTGTCCTTCGCCCTTCCTCCCCCTGGCCCTGTCCTTGGAAACGCTGTTTGTTTTGGTCGGTGAGTGCCAAGGTCCTGCCTCTGGTAACTGCTAAAAACATGGGGCCGGGGGAGGAGACAGGCAAAGAAACAGATGGAGGAAGAGGAGGAGCCGGCGGCGGTGCTGCTGCCCCGCCGAGGGTTGGGGGTCGGACAGGGTTGGGCATCCTCAGCCTCCCTCAGCGGTGTTTCTGGCCCTGGGCTGGGGCGCCTTGCCCCTAAATGCGGGAGGTGAGGGTGGCTGCCGTGGCCACGGACAGTGGGGGACACTGCTCATCTCGCTTTTACATAGTCTTAAACTCCTCTTCAAGAGAAGCCTGTATGTAAAGTGGAGAGCTGCGGAACTAGGAAGGTGAAGGTGGGAAATGACGGCTCTGAGCTGTGAAAAAGGAGGCATGAGCAAATTCCTTGACTCTTAACAAAGGCTCTTTTCTGCTCCGGTGCCGTGAGTGCTGCCAGAGGTGGAATCAGTGATAGGGAAACTCGAGCCCAAAGGAGATTCGGTCGGTGCCAGCTAGAAGATAGTAAGGATGTAAGCCTAGTAGAGTGAACAAAGTTAAGACACTTAAAGTGGTAAAACTGGACAGAGCACTTTAAAAGTGTGCATGGATGGAGTGATTTACTTGAATAAGCAGGGCTGTGGAAAAACTTTTCTTGACGATGTTACCTGAAGTTAAACCCATCCAGACTGTCTTTCACTCCCCCAAGATGCTTCATAAAATAACTTTTAAAGGAAGTCTTTGGGTATAAAAAGTGTGTGTGTTCTCTACACCTAATCTGATCTTGATCTTTATCAGTTATAACTGTATGATACAGTTACCGCATCACCCAGCCTGATAAGAGCAAGATGCCTTTAGGCATCTACAGTGTTGTATTCATTTCATCCAAGCTGTTTAAATTGCAGCAGAAACCGTGATAACTTAGTTAACTAGAATCTTGGGGTTTGTACACTTTGAAGATATTTTTATCTTGGCCTCCTATTTAGAGTTTTTCCTTAAAACCCTGTGAAATCGTACTGATTGAAATAGAGAAAACAGTGTATTGAAGCCCACTGTGAAGGAATTCAACCTAATATAAAAGTAAATGTCATTTATTTTCAATTCAGGAAGACTAAAGCAGGTTGTAACCACAGGCTGATCCTTTAATAGAATAGGTAGGATGTTAAACTGTGTATTAAAACAACAACCTAATATGTAATACCTAATGAACAATTAAAAAAAGTTCGGATTGTCTATTCAATATGGGGAGTTACAAAGAGATGTTGGAAGGTCAGAAGGATTTCTGAAATATTTTTACTTGGGAATTATATTAAACCTAAAGTTATATGTGAACTTGGCTTGTAATAATTTACAGCAAGCTCTGTGCTGTCTGGAACAGCAGCTCTTCCAGTGTTTAGGCTATAAAAAAAGGACCAAGTGACTTGGTTGTCTTTTGTTGTAACTACTTAGAAGTGCTTTTTTTTTTTTTTCTGGTTTGTACTTCCCTTTGATATGCTCAATGAATGTACTCTTGTCAGAGTTTTTTAGCTGTTGGGTAACATATTTAAAAACTGTAGATGACATGTCCACATTCTGCTTGCACGTTTGTCTGTGTTTACTTTGTTGTGCTTACTGCCTTGTTTATCTTTTAAACTTGTAATTTAGCAATAATGTTCTGAATCTGCAGAATGTACCTATTCTTCTTTACCATTCCATTTGAAGCATCCTACTCGGTAATACATTTACTGTGGCAAAGCTTTCAGTGTATTTTCAGTGTGTCATCTCCGGTTGCATTGTTGAAACTTGTTATTTAAAACCTCTTATTTAAATTGGGTCTTCTGAAGCACTCTGACAGCTCTGCTCTCTGTATGTGTGTATGTATTGTAGGAACAGCTATGGTCTCAGTACTTCAAAATATGTCATGGGCCTCTTTGAAATGCATGTATTTGTTGCTGAAAGATCCTTTACTGGGACTAATATGTAAAGATTTAATGTATATAGAATTTTACCATAATGGAATCATCATAGAGTGGATTGGGCTGGAAGGGACCTTAATGATCATCTAGTTCCAATACCCTTCCATGGGCAGGGACACCTTCCACGAGACCAGGTTGCTTAAAGCCCCATGCAACCTGGACTTGAACACTGCCAAGGATGGGGCTGCCACTTCTCTGGGCAACCTGTGCCAGGGCCTCAGAACCCTCATGATGAAGTTTTAATTTCTACCGTCATGATTTGGACCTCTTGGGAATCAAGACTGGGGCCGAAAATGGCAATACTGACTTTCCTCCATGACTGGTTGAGTATTTCTGTCAGAAGCACCTTGCAAATTTGAGTATTAACAAATTGGAGTTTTTATTAGGATTATTATGCTAAGAATTTTTTTTAATGATGATGTGAAAATTGTGTGAGAATTTTGGGGTTTTAATGGTCATGTAACTTCTTCCATGTTCTTAACACCTCGACTGGAGCAGTAACACATCTTGAAGTGCTCATACTAGGCAAGTGACTTGCAAGACCTTTTGGGCCAGTACGCTGCTAACAACATTAACTGAATCTTTCGATGGACCGCAGGCAACATTAACCTTTTGGAGGTTAGTTATTTTTGCATAAATAAAGTCATATACGTGACTAACACCTTGAAATACAGTGTTCTGCTGCTTATCCAGAAACAATAGCAGGAGGGCAATATAGGCTTTGCAGACTCTGTAGAGTTAAAGTGTTTAAGTGAGCAGTTCCATGTCAAGGACCTACAGGTAGGTTACGTGTCACAACTAGTTTCTGGCTGGCACTAGCCTTGATGTCTGCAGTGCATGTCTTAAGCGAAAAAGTAGTTTTGGTCTTTTGTGTAACATTAACTAGTGATTAATTTCTGATTGTAACTTAAATACAGTCTTCAAGTAAAAAAGAAATTCTCACCCTTTTGGTTTTGTGGGTTCTCTTGCAACTCTGTCTTTAGTCAATACTATTCTAAGTATCTGCTTGTTTTCAGTTGCTTGTTAGACATTATGAAATTGCTGGTTTAATAAGTTATGATGCTAAAGATAACAACAGTCTAGTCTTGAACCTATGACCTCTATCCCGATCAAACTGGCTTCTTCAGTAAGATGGTAAACTGTCAATTCTTGCTGCTGTGATTCTTTTCACAAAAAAAAAACCCCAATGTAATTACATAAATAAGGCACTCAAATGCATCTTTCCTCTTGGGAGAGGAGGAAGAGTAAGCATACACCTAACAAATGTTAATCATTGCAATTAACAGGGTAGTACTCATCAGTGTAATACCTCATCAGGTTATAAAGGCCTACTCAGGATGAGCTGGTACCCAAACACTCAAATGCTCCAAGCTGTAACTAGGTGCCAGTGTAAAGAAATCTTCATTTTTTACTCCCTTTTGTCTATCTCTTGGCCCTGTGATATGTTGATTCACATAAATACACACAAAAATCATCCTTTTGCTTCCAAAAGTGGTTTTTCCAAGTTCAACAGTTGTGAAGTGTGGTATTTCTTGCCTGCTGAAGCTGGTGCAATTCAATCATAGATGAAGTCATAGTACTTAAATTTGCTGGTGGAGGGTATTGTTGGCTGTGTCTCTGCATAAAATCTACTACAGAATGCTTTGTGGCTGTAATCAAAGATGGACAGCTACTTTTGGTATCTGGGCCAAATTCCTTTGGTAGTAATTGTGGCTGACTTCCAGTTCCTCATTTTAATATGATTAGGAGCATATTTTTTGCTTCCTGTCATACAACCATTAATCATCTCTATCGTACTATGCAGCTGTCTAAATTCTCTGCAGTTGCAGTTTATCTGCCTGGGAGGCAATTTCTTTATGTAGGCAAAGCACTATGAAGCATGACGTTTCTCAGTGTTATGCTGAATGTAATATTAAGAGGCCCAGTTACCATTTGATTTAAATCACAAAACCCATCCACCCTCACCATACCATTATTTCTGGGGTCTATGCCATTGTTGATCTGATTCTGAGCAAAAACCCACTTAAAGGCGGAGGCCAGGCTTTCAGCTACACCATGTCAGAATGTAGTATTCTGAATTATTTGCCTATTCTGCCCAGCAACTTCTGTTTGCTTCAAAATTGTTCCACTCAGTACAGTTTGTGGAAGGAAGCTAATTGCCAAACATCACTTGCTGGTGAAGTCAGGTGGGGGATGGTAACACCATGAGTTGCCTTTATGGATGTTGAGAATTTCTGAAGTTCTGACAACAGGCAACTTCTGGGGTTATGGTGGGTAACCTTGTATTTTTTTTTTTAATACAGTGAATTTACAGACTGTCTCTAACATAACCATGAGGGTATGAAACAGCAGAGGGTCCAAAGATTGCTTGCAAAACTGGTGTAGTTTGTTAATAACTGTGTGCTTCTGCATGTCAAGCCAGATCATTTCTGCAGCACCTTTTTAAGAAAGGTAGCTACTTGTTCTTTATTGGCAAAGTAATGATCAATATCTGACTTCTGAGAAATAAACAATAGTAAGAATTGGTTTTATTGCAAGTGTATTTTGTTTTTCCAGGTCTTGTGTACTGTAGCACCTAAAGTGAATCAGAATGCCTCTCAGTGATGACCATAACAGTGACTCAGAGTCTTCACGCCTCTCGGAAAGCACAGCTACTTCTAGCGACTCTGAATATTCAAGGCAGAGCTTTAACAGCGATTCTTCAAGCAAACCCAGTTCTCCAGCATGTAAGCCTATTTCAGCCTTACCTTCATTGTGCATAGGCGGATGAGGCTAACTTATTTCTCTTTGCTATTCTGGGTAGAACCTGGGATTCTGAATATCTGTTTAAGAGTATTATGAGAAAGGCATGGCTTTTTCTCTGCTGTGAAACAGTGCATCTGCTTGTGTCTGGAGCACCACCAGCAGCTGTATCCATGGGGGTCTCCCTGTGCACTCCTTCCCTTCAGAAAGTGTAAGAAAAGTGTGCCACTGTGGACATCCTAATCTTGATGTGGGTAGTGGTCTCCCACTCAACCAGATACAGCTTTATGCAAAGGGTGACTTTCTTCTGTTTGCTCTACACATTTAAAAATTAAATCTGTAGCTTACAGATTTATATTATAAGATCAAGTTACATGAAGTTAATCTCAAATTCCCCTTTTTTATTTCTTTCATAAATATTAGGATCAAACAGAAAACACACATTTGCACAAGGAATGTATTTTGAGTAATTGCTTGTTAGTGGAGCTGTAATTGGCAGCTGGCTATCTGTCTGTCTTTATTACCTGTCTTCAAAGGGTTAATTCCAAATACTAAATTAAAGGGCAGAATTTGGGGTTTAGAAACTTCTGGAATTACTCTTGCTTTCTAATGTAGAGTTTCTGTTATGATGTTAATGCCTATTTGTAAAAAAAAAAGTGTAATTTACAGAGCATCTGCTATGGAACATAAGTGGGGGTGTTCTCAAGTCTGTAACTTCAGAATCTTCTCTATAGGCAATAAAACCACAATATAGCCATTATATGCTCAGAATTATAATGGACATCTGGTATCTGTTATTGCCCAGGTTTTTGGTCTGGTGGATTTTACAGAAGAGTTAATAGCAAATCTGTGGAATGCAAGATCCTGTTTTAAAGGAAAAAAAATATCTTGCTTAAGATGCAAAAATATGAAATTGCTCTTCAAAATGTTATGAGGTTTATGTGGTATTACCCACACACACACACACCCCTGATAAGCTGGGAGTTTCCTGAGTTAGTGTTTTAAGAAGATATAAAGACCCAGTAATCCTAGGTTGTTTTTTCTAGAGTCCAAGTAGCAAGCAGCAAAGCTTCTAAATTTTAATATTTTTCAATTGCACTTATGAATTATAGATATTTGGCTTGAATGGATCTTGTTTGTTCCAGCAGCAAGTCCCCCTAAGATGATTACATTTGATGAACTGATGGCAGCTGCAAGAAATTTGACAAACTTGACCCTAGCTCATGAAATTGCTGTAAATGCAAATTTTTGCATAAAACATGAAGACTTGCCACAGAACAGGTAAGAGCCTGGATTTTGTGAAAAGCAGCACTGGGGTTGGGAAGAGAGTAAAATAAAATACTACCCCACCCCAAAAATAACCCAATCAAAACAAAAAACTATCAACGAAATCCAAACCAAAACCATTTTTTATCCTGCACCTCCAGGAGTCACTGTCAGCATGATCTTGCTTGGAACAAGTGGTGCAGTCCAGCTGAATTGATAGACTGTCTTGGCATGTTGCTCTGTTTTAAATGTCACAGAAGATAAAGGGTTAATGTAATACGAATGCGCATAGTGAAGATGAGTATTGGTTTGTTCTGTGCAGTACCAAGCCCTGTGGAAAAGGTGAAATGGTGGCTTTGTATGTAATAGTTCATTGGTGTGGTAGTATTAAGAAGGTAAAGCTCATCATGAGCATAGCTCTAACATTAGCCCCAGAAGCCATGCAGAAATACCTGGAGAACCAGAGGAAGCAAGACGTAACTTCCCTTATGTAGGTAGCTAAATAGACATGTCTGTGAGCAAGAGCAACTTAAAAATAACCCTGGTCTTTGCTTTGAGAAAACTTACATAAAAAAAAAGGGTATTTTTAATTGCGTAAGTCCCTTAACTGATAATTGGTTATATGACAGTAGTTTTTGAGAAAGCATAGTACAAAACATACAAGGTTAGAACAAGAGTACAGATCCAGTAAAGAAAAAGGGCAGTTAATACTACTTTACCCACATCTGAATTGCCAGCACCACTTTGTACCAGACACCTGTATTTTATAGAAGACTTGTCAGTCTAGATGATGGTTTGGGACCTGATGACCCACAGCCCAAGAAAGATGATTGCAGGGCACAGTAGCTGGTGAGGGGCATTTTCCCTCACCCCAGTGATTGTGATCAGACTAATCTAAATCACTTCTACCAATGATGAAAAATAGATGGGAGTCATTTCTGTATCTAATTGAATTATTACACAGTTTTGCAGGCACAGTGAAACAGATTGTACACAAGGCTTTTTGGGATCACTTGGAATCGGAACTGAATGAAGATCCTCCAGAATATGAACATGCTATCAAGCTCTTTGAGGAAATCAAGGAGGTAATGTTCTTCCTCTCCTGAGCCCCAGTATTGCTTTGTCAGCTTATGTCTGAAAGGCTCTGACTTCACTGAAGAGTCTGCTAACTCAGTCAACACCTTTATGTTTGTTCTTTAAAGATGAAAACAGAACTGCAAATAGGTGTAATTATAGTATATTTATATATATTATGATAAGTTGCAAGTCAGCTCTTCTCTCAAAGCTTTAAATTTCTCCTAGTTTCTTTCCAGCATGTACTGTGAGCTTATGGTATGAACAGGAGTATAAATGTGACTGTACCTGCTCATGTAGACTTTGTTTACCCACCTCCCTGGGCATTTCACGCTCCCAAGACCCACTCTCAGCAACTTTTCTGGCCCTTTAGATTGGATATTAAGAAAAATCTCTCCACTGAAAGGGTAGTCAGGTGTTGAAACAGGCTTCCCAGGGAAGTGGTGGAATCACCATCCCTGGAAGCGTTCAGAAGCTGTGTAGGTGCAGCCTTTAGTGACATGGTTTAGTGGTGGACTTAGCAGTTCTAGGGGAATGGTTTGACTTGATGATTATAAAGATCTTTTCCAGTCTTGTTGATTCTGTGATCATACACGGAAGCATGCACACCTTCAATCCCAGCATGATACTAAGTCTTTCAGAAGTTTGAGTTAGGAAATGTTTGTTTTATAGGGCAGTATCCAGACATGCTTTCTGTTTTACTAGAGCTTTGAGCTTTTTTGCAGAACTCTGCAGAGATAGTTTTAACGGTACTTCTTTCCTGCTACCTTAATGTTCAGTCTTAATGTGTCTTATTATAGTCAGTTAATACACTTGCCATTAAGATCTTATTTCAGCATGTTTACAAACTGGTTTGTTTTTTATTAATATGCTTTTTTATTTCCCCCCTACTTCAGATTCTTCTTTCCTTCCTGACTCCTGGAGCAAACAGGATTCAAAATCAGATTTGTGAAGTTCTAGATACGGATCTTATACGACAGCAAGCAGAACATAATGCTGTTGATGTTCATGGGCTAGCTAATTATGTTATCAACACTATGGGAAAGTTGTGTGCTCCAATAAGAGACAATGATATAAAACAGTTAAAAGCAACTGACAATATCGTAGAATTACTGAGGTTGGTATTCGGGTGTCTTGGGGGTTTTCAGATGAAAAACTCTTCTGAAAGAGCACTGGGCAGTGGAAGAGGGGGCATAGTCTTAAAAATTATGTCTTAAATTGTGTCAGTTTATATAACAACTGCTCTCAAACTATAGGAAAACTTATTTTTATACAGAAGTATTAAAGGGGAGAAGCTATGACATGCTGATAAGAATATTGTCTTACATTGTAATAAAATGGATAGAATGCCTAGATCAAGCAGTACCAGCTCTGACTAAGCCACTGAACAACAAAAAAACGCTCTTGCAGTAATCTGTTTCAGAGACTGCTTTTTCAGTCTTGTTCATCCTTACAAAGCTTACGCAGCACATTTGTACAGTTCCATCTTGAACTATTTAGTGCATGTAGGAGGCCAAAATTTACATTTTAAATACCTCTAGTAAAGATAAAATTATTTGAACTTGAGTAAAGCATAACTGGCAGAAACTAGTTTACTCTTTCTTAGGTACATGAAAACACTAAGAGTAGATGGAGCTGTTCTACTGTTTATTGCAACTTAGATCATATGCAGGGATCCAAGCTACTGGGATTGTTTCTCTTTGTACAAATTTAAATAAAAAGTTAACTTACGTTCATTTAGGCTGAAATGTACCAACTTACAGGTGCTGCATTTTGGTCTTGGTATCTGTGACACCAAACCTTACACACAATACTCCTTCAGGTATTCTGGAAGCTATATAACGGATCTCTTACACTGAAATACTGATGCAGTTTACTTCTACCAGAATTGAAGTTAAAGTACTAATGTAGATGTATCTCATATGTGATGGTTAAAATCAATAGACTAATTGTAAAATTTTAAATTTTCTCCTTTCAGACAAATATTCCGTGTTTTGGACCTGATGAAAATGGATATGGCAAATTACGCAATTCAAAACCTTAGACCATACCTTCAGCGTAATTTGGTGGACTACGAAAGAACAAAATTCCAGGAAATTCTTGAAGAAACACCAAGTAGGTATCCTGCTATCTTTAAATCAAAACTTCCTGAAAAAAAACCCCCAAAAAACTAAATACACACCTATTTAAAGACATGCTATAAAATCTATCAATTGCAGTTAATTTGGAGGAAAACTTCAGTTTCTTGTCTGGATCTAGCTGTCGCAAAAATTCTTTGATAAGCAAGCTACCAATGGGCAATTGCTTAACTTGCTGTAAAGTATGTTCATCTGTAATCTGGGGTGCTTTCAGATGAATTTGTATTTGCCGTATTGGTTTGTATCTGAAAAACAAACTGTAGCTCTTCCTGTCTGGAGACAGAAGCCCTGTATACTGAAAGATGAGACTTTATCTCTTTTGTATGCAGCTAGTCTATTGTTAGTTTGAAGTAAACCTATAAAACTAGTTAGTATGCATGAAAGTTGGGACAGGATCCTATTTTTAATAAACAAAAGGCAAGCTCTGAGGGAATACCTTAGCTGATGCAAAATCAACTTTATCCATTATTACAGGTTTTGCGTAATGTGGCTAAACAGGGTTCAGGAAACATTTTTCAAGAAGACAAAGTAACCTTACTAACATCTGGAGAAGGGGCTTCTGAAATAGGAACCCCAAGCCACTGATGCAGCTTGCAGTATTTATATATGCAGCCTGAGGAAAAACTGTGTTAACAACAAATGAAAAGCTATTGGAGTTCTTTCTCCCCTCTATTTTCCAGTCCTGTACCCCAACCTAGTAACTTGCCTTCCTGAAAAAAGAAAATAAGAAAATGCTCTGGGAATTCTGAGGCTGCTTTTACCCCAAGATCTTGGCTGAAGTCTTAACAATTTGTTGCTGGGTTAATACAAGCTAGCTGGGATATTAAGGTGACCAGTGGAAGACATGTGGGGAAAAAAAAATGAAGGGAAGAATTTACATGTTAAAACTCAGCTGTCCACTATGTTTGAGTCTTCAGAAGTCATACTCTTGTTTATGAGTACAACTCTTTTCCTCAAGGTAGTGCTTATTTTGATGAGAACATGCAGTAAATCTGTACTGATTTGCAATGCTTAGGTGCCCTGGACCTCACAACAGAATGGATAAAGGAATCTATACAAGATGAATTGTCATCTACTTCTGATGAATCTTCATCATCCCCTGGTGCTGATAGTAGTTCTAAAAGAACCATTAGTCCTACACTGGTGCTAAACAATGGCTACTTGAAACTGTTACAGTGGAATTATCACAAAACAATTCCAGAGGTAGGAAGTGTATTTCAGTGTCTTCAGATTTCTAGCTATATGAAAATATTTGTGTAGTATAGTAATCCTTCTGTTGATAACTAAGTGAAGTATTCTCTTACACTTCTTAAATTTCCGAGTAGTAAATTCAGAGTATGTGCTAGTGTAGTGTCTGAAATACAAGATGTGCAGCAACTAGAAAAGAACAATGTAAACCTTGTCTTGATTCTATCCCATCATAGCTCACCAGCTCCATCCTGTGAGCAGTCTTGGCCATGGTCACAGGCTGGGCCTGGTACTGCCAGCTCCTGGCTTTGTGTACCTTCAAGGGAACTGATTATAGCATTCTGTTTTCCTAAGAGCAGCAGGAATTAGTGGGATTGCTCTTCCTTTAGAACAGAATCAATGAAAACTTGAAGCCCTGTAAAGCAGATACTCATCCTTTTGCAGTGTATATAAACTATTGCTTTGAGAATCAGTGTTCAGTTTTTCCTACCAGCTCCTGATCACTGACCTCTGCAACTTTCCATAAAGCCAATTTGAAATTGTCCATCAGTCAGAGCTAAAATTAGCATCTGCAATGAGCTCCTTAGCTATACTTAGGGTAGCCTTTTAGAGAACTTGCTGAATATATGGGGAGGCTTTTAGTGTTCTCAGTCAGTGGACACAAGGGAAACCACCTTGTTTTTACCTTAATTTGAAAAGCTTCGAATAATAGCTACACACAGGTATCCTCTGGTGAATGTAGTTTGCCATACTATGAAACTACTGAGTGTTAATGCCCCTGCGCTTCACAGTGAAGGGATTTGGTTAGGATTGAACTCTTTCTAACCTAAAAAATCACTCCAGCTACATTTTACTGTGGGAATTACAGTCTTGGTATGATCAACTGCGTGTTTGCCTGTAACAGGTTATGAATCACTTGCAGAACTTGCTCTGGTGGTTGAGCTTGTGGTTGTCATGCACAGTTGTTCATCACTGTCTGTCAGTTCCAGATTGCCATTTTTCAAAGAACAGCTGAATCCAGAAGACTGTTGTCTGTAACCTTGATCACTGCAATGTCCTCTGGATCCCTTGAGCATTTTGCTTTGTTGAATTGTTGGTTGCAAATTTCCATTAGCAGTGATGAGGAATAACATGCAATGTCCTTTGTTTGCTCTGCACTGAAGACATTACCTTTCTTCCTGCCATAGGCTTACTTCTGGTACTCATACATAATGTTACTTTGTGCAATATTACATATTCAGAGTATTTCAGCTGCTGTCTCTTCTGACATTGTGTATTTGTGTTTAAAAAATGTCAGTGCTTCATGACTATATCCTGTATCTGTCCTTTTTCCTGCTTCTCTCCCTCTGTATTCCTAAATTAGTATTATTGTTTCAATTCCAGACTCTAATAACAGACGAAGCTCGTCTTCAGGAGTTGAGAGAAAAGCTCAAACAATTACAGATCATAGCTTGTGTTTGTCTTATAACAAACAATATGGTGGGTGCAGCAATTGTAGATGTGCCTGATTTTGCTGAGCAGCTGAAAAGGATCTCTCTTCCTCTTCTTGAAGGCATGAACAAGAAGTAAGGTCTTATTTTTTTATCACTCTTCATATTCATTTATTTATATTAAACAGGAAATACTAGGTGGATCTGAAAACCCTTGGAAACAACTCAAATGTCATAGCCAGTGCTTGTTAATAATAGGAAAATATAAGATTTTAATAACCTGATCTGTATTCCCTTGAAAATGCAAGTCCACTCTGTTAGGCACATACTTTCAAAGGTATATTTTAATGAAATCTTAATCTTGATGTTAGTATACAGAACTTTGGGCTCTAGTACTAAAGTTCATTCATATGCTCCTAATACTGAAGAGGCTCTGGCAATACATTCACTGAATTGTCTTGCCAGTTGCTTCAAACTAGTTATAGTTAAAACTATTTGGCTGCTTATTTCTGCTGCCTGCAAGTAAGTGATGTGATCTCAAGGAGTGTCTTAAAATAGTTTTTCCACTCTGCTTTTTCTTACAAAATACTATGCATGTGGCCCAGGAAAACACCTTAGCGTAATGGAAAAATGAAGTGGTGTCACTGCTGTACACTTGAAATTATTTTTTATGTTAGGTACTTATTTTATTTTCTACATGAAGATTTGTGCTCTACCTGTAGATACTTGTAAATCTGCAAAAGAGAACTTTCCTAAATTCTTTTATTGCAGATGGTGGGTTTAAAATAAAAGGGGAAAAAGACAAGTAAGGTCACTTTACAACCTATGCTCTAGAAACTGCTGAAGTTAATGCTTTTCTCTTTCTTTCTTTCTTCCAGAACTTTTGATTTGAAGGAGGCTCTGGATGCTATAGGTGTCCAAATTTGCAGTAAAGTGAACAGGTCTCTAACTGAAAAAGGTCTTCCCACTCTTGATGAAGAAATGCAGAGTAATTTAATGGGTCAAATTGCTCATATTGTAGAGGAGAATAATCCTGTCTGTTCCTTGATTGGTTAGTAAGATTATGTATAATTGTTGTCTTGTATGTGTTATGTCATATATCAACTTACTCCCAGCAAGCTTAATCAGATGTGTAATTATTTTTAAAAACACTTTTTACTGGGGCAACTAAGAGTAATGAAATCTTTACATAAAGAGGGTGTTCTTAGTGTGCTGTAGAGCATGGCTATTCACAGCTAGAAATACTTTAAAAAGTGCCTGAAGAAACAAGCCTTGACATGCTCATATTTTGGTGGAGAACTGAGAAAAATGAGTACTATTCACTCTTCCTTCTGTCAGTTCTGGGTTTAAACTTAGTGTTTTTTGTAATTTGAGTCTACTTAGGTAATGTAACTTGTTTGCAGCAGGTTTATGCTGCATCCAGCTTGCAGGAGCCAACTTCAAGAAGCTTTCAGTATTGTTTCCCACCACAACACAGGCTTGGGAAAGAGTTGTTACCCACGCTGCTGGATTTTGTGCTGTGCTGATGTATAGGGTGCTTACAAAGTGACTATGGCTTCAGCTTGGGCTCTCTTGTTCTGAGTGTACTTTATATTTTATTTCAGACAAACGGATCCAGTTCTTCCTGAGAAGCTTGCTTGCTCTTCCCAGTTTTCAGAAGTCTATGCCTACCATGCCAGGAGGCCTTTCCGTGATTCAGACAGAAATGGAGCTTGTTGGATCTCAGTATGCAAGCATTGTAAACTTTAATAAACAAGTGTATGGACCCTTCTACGCAAACATACTTAGAAAACTACTTTTTCGTGAGACACCTATGGGAAAAGCAGAAACAGGAACAGCAACAGCTACCAGTTAAAAATTTTCACCTATTTCTTTACCCCTTTTTTTATCTTCCAAAGTGATCTGTCTTCCCTACTAAGAATAGTCCACTCCAGTGAATAGCAGTGAGAGAGATCTTGTAAAATGTATACAGATAGCTTCTGAAATTCACTGGAAAGACATTTAAGTTCAAGGACATACATATTTTAATAGAATAAATTCGTTTGATGCATTTTGTCACTTGTGAACTATTAGTTCTCATGGCAAGCATTTATGATTTGCATTGGGAAGGGACTGGTGCTGCAGAAAATACATGGACTCAGTCAGAGATCAATGTGATCAGAAAAAAGCCATTTGTTCCAAAGCCTTAACTCCTTATATACTTTTTCTTACAAACACAGTGATTTGGCATATTATGATTGGATACATATCTTGAAGACCCTTAGGGACTAACATATAATTTAAGCACAGGTGTGAGAACCTGACCTCAAAAGCTTGCCAACAGTCCGCAGTTCTCATAACTCAGTGAATTCCTGCTTCTTCTTATCTTGCTTGCTTAAGCTTCCTCGGGCCTTGCTGTGTCTTTTGGGATTATTCAGAGTTCATGTACCAAATATCCATTCTCCTGTGAGAACACTGTGTCCACATCTCCCCCTTTTAGTTTTATCTATCTTTTGGATGACCCTATGTGAGCAGGGGATTTAGGCTAGTTTGTATCTCCAACATCTACCAACTACAGGCTGCTGGACCTGCCCTTTTTTCTGCTGTATGGCTCTCTGATAACAGGGGAGGCCGTCTTTCACATCAAGGTCTGGCATGGCATGTGTCCCCACTGCTCCACACCTGCTGGGTTGCAGCCAACAGTGGAGCTACAGGTTTTTCTTGGTGGCAAACACAGAGGCCAACCCAGTCTTGCCCTTGACTGTTGTAGCAGGCATTTGGTCAGTCTCAGTCCTTGCACCTTGTCAATGCAGAGTTTCACCTGCTTCATCCAGTAACAAGTTGCTACTATGGTAAGGCACACACAGATTTACATTAGCAGAGTAACTATTAACAGAGTGCAGCAGCATGTTGAAGATGCTGATGGCAGCGAGGGACTAGCCAAAGAAATTTCTTACCAGTGGAGTTCTCCCACCCTCTTAATTTGTTCCATTACCTGCTTTATAACGCTACCATTGTATTAGAATCTTTCTAGCTTTTGCCTTAGCATTTTCTAACAGCTGCTGCAAATTTGCATGCTCTAACATCTTTTTTACAAGTGACAAATCCATACAATATAAGGTGTAGTTTCTTATTAGCAAGTGGCTAGTAAATACAAGTGGTTTTATACACAAAATCACAGCTTCTAATAAGTTCTAATTTACAAGCACACATATTCAAGTTGTTACTTTTCAGTTGCCTCCAAGTGATGTTTTGCAATCATTCATTTTTCTCTTCCTCTGTCTCATTCTGCTTGGGGTATTCATGGTCAGCTCCTGTAGCTGAGGCATCGGGTTCCTCCGCTCATCTGTCCAGCTCATAGCAAGGCTTGACAAGCGTTGCAGGCAGTTGCCATGGACCTGTAGGCAGGAGGACGCAAATATAGTCAAGGAGTTTGCTGCATGAGGCTGGCACAGTACTTGGTTTTTTTTTGCCACCATTAAAACAATGTTATTTTTTCAACTTAAATATATTTATATATAGCAATGCAATTATGAAATGAGAAAACAATTGTAGGTAAAATGTACTGTGCTTACATTGTATTTTTGTAGAGCAACACCTAATACAACACTCAAATTTCTGAAAAGACTTTAATATAAGAACTGCTTTTGTAACCAAAACCAGATTCGTACTAGGCCAAGTTCTGGTACTCCTGCAACTACTGGAATGAGAACTTGGCCTCTGTTAATATTAGGGAATGCCAGTGTTGTAAGCTGTATGAAGTATAGCAGTTACAGAAGAAGCATGCACCATTTGAAGTAGGAATCATTCACAACTTCTGAACTGTAATTGAGATTAATGATAAGCACCTAAGAAACATCATGTTGATGGGAGGGGGGTGGAGTTACTTTCTGTATATAATGTTTATAAGCATTTTGTTTATCCAGTGGTGGTCGTACAGCTCTTAAATCTAACCTTTAATATGTGTATGTACTAATCTTTGATCTTAATGGGTATTAAGTATTTTTAAGTTAGGTCTTTCTGACCTTTATTCCTAAAAGCACTTGAAAGTGACCTTAGAGAGTACCACAGAGCAACTTCCCCCTTTTATATTCTGTTGGATGAGGGCGTAAGCTTTTCAAAGGATATCCTGGGGTCTGAAAGCAAGAACCCAAGTGATTAGTCATTCTGAAAATGTGATTGATTGAGTTCACTTTCACTCATTTTGTGAGAAATACTGCGGTTTTCTTTAAAGTTCTTTGTAATAGTCCCCAGTATTTAGTTCCCATTTAAGGCATCAGGAATCTTGCATACAGAAAATGAACAGGCTTGAAATTGAGAAATGTGGAAATAAACTGTAAGTTTACACAGCTTTATTTTGCATATTTCAGATTACTGGGAATAGATACTGCTGGAATACGTATTATAGATATGTTATCTATGAAACTGAATCTTAATTTACTTGAAAATAATCTTTTAATATATTACTACATAATAGTCCTTTTTAAAATGTCATATATAAACTCCATATGGTACAAGTTATATAGCTTGTTCTAATATTTTATATTACAATCTATTTTTTATGAAGAGACAAGATAACCCATAAAAGCTTAATGTGTCCCAAAAATCGTGTATGTACATTACTGTGTCTTACCATAAAGGTCTAAAAAACCTGGGCATTATTAGCACTGTGGTTTTGTAGTCCGTTTCTAGAGAATTGTGTACTCTTTTTGGTAAGGGAAATGACTTCTGGTCAGTTGTTCCTCACTGTTGAAGAATTTTGGTCACATGTACATAAGAAACTTTCTCCAAAATGCCTTTTTAGAAAGGAAATTTCTGTAGTGCACTTCTGCTCTATCCCTTGTAAAAAACATTGCACAAAATAAAGACGAATGCGTATTTTAAAGGGAACTGTTTCCTGAAGCCTGAAAAACCAGTGAGAAAGAAACTCCTAGAATATAGGAATTGTGCCACTAGGTAGAACAGGCTTGCTTAGATGAATATGAAATTTTGATATGCAATTCAAAATCATCAAGAGAAGAATGCATTTCAAAGGCAATTATGGGAAGTTAAATCCTAGTGAATTGCTGCATCTTTGGAAAGACATAAACTATTTTAAGCTTCAGCCAAAAGAGGATCTTATCAGTGTTTGAAGATGATTTATAACAGGATTATGATTTTTTATAATATTTTATATGCATTCTATTATTAAATACAACTATAGATCTTCAATGTTCTGGGGAAACTCTCATACTAGGTTTTACCAGTAAATACTCAAATGAGGGTTTGTTGGGGTTTTTGGTGGTTAACTAGCAAGGGGCATTTTATAGCATGGCCTATGTTTCAACTGATTGTTTAATGTACCTTAATTTTTATTTAATGTTTGAAGCTTAGGCACTGCATCAATTTAATGTCATGTGTTGCATGCTGTTGACACTGCCGTGGCTGAAATGCACTTGCCTTTACTCTGAAGTTGTCCTTGTGAAGCAAGATGTAATTCTGTAGCAGCTTTCCCTGATGAAATGAATATTTGAGGGTTTGTATGCATTAAATTCTTTGTGATATGACTGGTGGTGAGAAGTCATTTATGCCAACTTTCTGAGATGTAATGGATTATTAAATGCTGAAGATAAATGATTGCACTAATAACACATCGTGATTCAAATTTCTCAGTTGTAGGTGGAGTCTAGAGCTCTGATTTAAACTGGGCTACACAAATAACATTCAAAACAGTTGTGTGCTTAACTCAGATTCCTTGGAAGAAGGTTGTATTTGGTTTGCAGGGCATGGTTTTGACAGCAGGGTGCCTACAGGGGCAGCTTCTGTGAGCTGCTGGAAGCTTTGCCCCATGTCCAATAAAGCCAATGGCTTCAAAACAGACCTGCTACTGGCCAAGGCTGAGCCTCCCATCAGTAATGGTAGCACCGCTGGGGTAACACAGTTAACAAGGAGAAAGAAAAAAACCTGATGTACAACAGCAGCCAAAAGAGGGGAGTGAGAGTATGTGAGAGGTCATAGTACACGTAAGTAACGTGTACACGTTAAGGTAACGTGTACTTTATCACAGCTCCACTCTTGGGAATGATAAAATAGATGGGAGGCTTCAGACTGGCCGATACTGGGGTAGAGGGCAATGACAGATCCCCATAGTGAGTGGCAGTAAAGGCATGGGTAAGCATTCTGTTCTTCCTGTAAAATCTCTTAATCTCCTAGAATCACAGAATGGTTTGAGGTCCTTGGTTTAGAAAGGTAATAATAAACTCTTAATCCTCTGAACATCATTGTTTGTTTATTACTGTTTTCTATTGTGGAAGTAATCATGATTTCTGATTATATACTAATGGAGGAGGCTACAGGTCACTGGACTGAAACAGTTACTCTTTGAGCACGTCCTTAGATAGATGGAAGGGCATGAAGGTTGTTGCAGCACTGCTGTGTGTTGAAATCTTCAGGCTGACTGTATTAGGCAGGAAGCTAAATGGAAGTGATATGAAATGTTGCTACTCTCAGGTTTAACCTGGGCCTTCACGTCCGGGATGTATGCGTGGAGCCCAGACCAAACTCAGTCAGCTGTTAATGCAGAATGTGAGCCAGAGCAGAGGTGTGTGCGCAAGTACTGTTTGCACTCTACTTTTAAAATGTGCTTAGCAACTGTTATACATGAACCGGCAAAAGCTTTTTGTCACGGGAATTTAAAAGATCAGAAATGCTTCTTCGTTTAAATTAAACTGGGGAAGAGGAGGAGTCCTGTTAACTGTGATTTGGGCATCTCTATAGCACTTGGGGGGAAAAAAGGCTGTAGGTGATCCAGCTGCAGCACTGAACACTAAGCTTGGAAAGAGGCAACAACAGGATTTTCTGTAAGCTTTTCTTTGCATCCTAAACATTGTAAAATATCAGCACCCCCTTGCTCTGTGCCCTCGTGTGTGTGTCAGCCCGCTCCCCAGGTTCAGAGGGAGACCCCCAAACGCTAACAGGCATTAAAGTCCCCTCCGAGGAGCCAGAGCATCGGGGGAAGAGGAGGTTGGAGAGACCCGGCAGCCCCCACTTTCGCCCCGTTTACCTGCGTGTGTTTCCGTGCTCACCCCGCCAGGGCCCCGGGGCCACGGAACGTTCGTGCACTGCGCGGCTGTGGCGGGAGGACGCGTTTGG